AGCTTCTCCGTCATTGCACAAAAAATAACATGTTGTGTTTTCTAAGGTATTTTCGGATCAGGCAGTATAACATATTCGCAATAACGCTGTTGGAACTCCGATGGTTGTACCCAGGACTAAAATTCTAGTAATGTTGCGAAGTTGTTTCTGCAAGAATGAGGAATACGGCAGCTGTCTCCAGTCCTCATACCATGTGATGTAGAATACGAAGCGTCGTCATCGACACCGCGAAATCAGCCTGAAACGAGCGCATTTATGCTTTGAAACGTATCCTTGTATTTTGATTTCTTGCGTTGAGGCTTTGTCAACTTTGAGTGACCTTAGGTGTTGTAAAAAAGTGTATGTTGGCATACTTCTACTTCGATGCTTCAGTAGTTTACCTTTCTTCAAAAGTGAGGGTTTAAACAGATCTAATTCTCGTTGAAATTTCTTGATCGTTGTGTTAACAGTTTCCGTTTAAACGAGCTTTTCCCTTCTTCGATGATTCACGTCATAAGAGAAAATTTCTCTTTGTCCTTGATACCAGCATCTTTAATGACAAGGAAGGTAAAGTCGCAGGCCGCGTTCTCACTCGTTATGTATTTAAACCTGTCAATATCGATTTCTTATGCTTTCGCTTAACTGGTTTTTCATTTTTACCTATCTCGTGATCTTGTTGAAAAACATTGTATTGACATTAAGGTTTATTTTTCCCTTTCTGCTTATTTTCGCTCTCTTATTAATTTTCTTCTCTCTCCTTTGTTGAAATAGGAAACTTCCAGTCTGACTCATATCCGAGAAGCCGCACTCAGGTCAGTCGGGGTCTCTTCCTGCCGAGGTTGATAAATGAGTGCTATTATGTTGGTAGGAAACAGAAGACTATAGTTATAATGTTCAGTGTACAGATAAACCTTAACATTAAAACAAAAAAAAATGCTGACAGATGACGCAAAGATGGCGATTCCCGCCGCACCATAAGCTTCATTAAACGAAGGGCGCTACAAATGGTGCTTAATCATAGAAGGATGGTGGAAGGAGACTCGGATAGTTACCAGCTTTCTTTTCTTCTTTTTCTCTTCATCCAGTCAAATATTCATTTATTCTCATTTTCATCCTGCTTCCGCTTTCACTTCACTTCTTTTTCCTTTTTTCTCTATCTCTTTTCTTTACGTAATTAAATCGGTCTAAGTGCTGTGCTCTGATTCTCACATTTCTACCTCATTCTACCTTCAAGCCATTAACAGACTTAAGTTGACGAACGGCTAGTTGCGCTATTTCTGCTGTAGTACTCAAAAAAAGCACTTAAGGCGGTTTCTGATTTTCCCACTTCGAAGGCTGGTAAGCCAAGACATGAATGACCCACTCTCTACTTTCCAATTTCCCTCCGTTCGAAATTTAACTCTTTGGCATTTCGTCTGTATTCCTGAAAATGTGTCTTAACACGTATCGAATCATGCGGTTTTGATCCGCCGGAGTTTGAGCGAAGCAAAAGTGTAATGTTTGTTCTTAGTGAGTACACGCTCACTGATAAAAAATAGCCTAGTGAGTAACTTGCTGTGGTAATGTCTGTAACACAATAATGGAGCGATGGCGATAATACGTCACTAACATGTTAGTAAGCTTAATTTCAGATCCTGTTACACAGTGTAATGCAGCATCATTTGTTCTCCTAACTGTCTAAGGAACATCGAAGCAAGTAACGGCTTCGAGGTGCGGTTTACATGTGCCGTGCTGGGTACCACTGAGGCTCCACGAGCTCGTGCTCCTTGTAGTCATATACATTAGACGTCATTTTCATGCCCTGACCAAATTTTCACTCCGTTGAGTACCGAACAATGCCAACGATTTCAGTTACCTTGGTTTGCCAATTTCCTTGAATCTGAAGTGCATTTGCTTCGATTCGTCCAACGATATGGATAAACTTTAAATACTGTGAAACCTG